ACTACTGTACTTAGTGCTTTACTGTAGAGTAAGTAATTTATGCAATATCAGCAGAATTCACAGATTTGAAATACTAGTGTCCATAAGGTGCGATACTTGATGCAAATATATTAAAGCATAACAAGAAATTGCAATATTTCAACAAAGAGAAATTCTTGAATGTTCTGTGGCTAGTAGGTTAAGTCTATTATTTAAGATTCTGTTTAAGCATATTCAATTTATGATCTATGAATTTGTAGTTTTCTTCGTGTTGCAGGTAAGTTACTGTTATCAAATAGAGATCAAAATCAATGAATATGTATCACCCACCCTTATTATAATGGCAGATAAGATCTGGATACTCCGCTAAGCTGTTCTATTGTAAAAACATTTTCTTCATTGAAAAGCTTTTCTATCAGCTTTTTCTAATAATATATTTGATAAGGTTTCTGTAACATGCATAGATGTTTCTTATACTAGAATAGAAAAAGTGTGAAGTGACATTCATTTTAGATGTTGGCTTGAACAGAACAATGTATTCCTATAGTATTACCTCCACCACATTTGGCAATGTACAAAAAATAAAAGCTTGGTCTGAAGTTTTCTGTTTTGAGTAACAGTGTTGCATTCTGTTAAATGAACTTTTGAGATGGTGATTAACCTGAAGTTAAAGTGAAGTTCATTGTTTGTATTTGCATGTGTCTCATTGACTTTAACACTTGGACTGTGTTTTCAAGAAGTAACTGCATACTGGAAGATCTGTTTATAGATTAAAATAAATGTTTAGCCTCCTAATCATGGGCGCTGGAAGATACTTCACTGAAACAATAATGACTTTTCTTGAAAAGTCTGCTGTGCAAATTTAGCATTTTTTCCTCAGGGTTTCAAAAGTCAAGATAAAGTAACCTGAGATTTACTCTTCACAATGCAGATTAACCAACGGAGTATCCAACACTACAGCTATCAGCTTGGTTTATGGAGAAGTCTCATGAGAAGGGAAATTTGGAAATGGAGAAAAAAAAATACTGTCCCACATATGGTGCATTCTTTGTGGCTACATGAGCAAAAAAAAGAATTGCAATAATTAGATTATAACCTTCTGTATAAAAGAAATAAGTTTGCAAACGTTTGGAAGCAACTGACTTTTTCCATAACTGAATGGTTTGGGGCTTGGTAGTGAGGTCCAGTTTTGCAGGTGCTTCAAACAGGGAGTCCATTTGGTAGGATGAGGTTGAGGAAATGTGGTTCAGTACTTGGTCTGGTAACTTGGTCATACAACTTCATGTTGTAAATTCTGTTCCCTCCCATTGTTTTCTACACTTGCATTAAAACTTTGAAGCCTTCTACTTTCATTCCAGGGCAGCACTTCATTTCTGGTCTCTCAATTTACATTGCAATGACTTGATTTGTTTAAAGAATCTTTGTCCTTTCTTTTGTTAAAATGGTAATTTGCTACTGGCAGGAAAATATGTATTCATGATTAGAAACACTCATTGGATGGCATCTACCCAACTCGAAGTGGCAGTTGGCTGATTTTGTGGGGTTGGCTGCCAATTTCTAAATGGTTGAGAGGGCTTCACCACCGCCATTTGGTGAGGGCTGTCTGTCGTACAGCCCTGCTCCTCACCACTGATTGGCTGAGGGCTGTCAGTCATACAGCATTGCCACTAATTGGTGGAGAGGGGTGGAGCCACATGACAGGCTGCCATCCGTCAGTCAGTGGCGAGGGGTAAGGGTGGCAGCCATCTTGCACATTTATGCTGGTAGCTTCTTTGTGCCAGGCTTTTGGCCACTGGAGAGCCAACATTTTATTTTTGGTAAGTTGTTTTTATTTTCTTTTCCTATGTGGCTTTCACGGGAATTGCCTGGTTTTATAAATTTTGCAAAATCATGATTTGAGTAGGTACGTACTCATTGGACTTGTTTCTTAGCCTATGTTGAGGTATGGCCTGTTCTTGTCATTCTTTTTGGTAGGAGATGACTGTTTAGGACAGAATATGTCCTAGGACCTTTATGTATTTTCAGTGAAATACTGATTTTGACATTAAATATATACAGGGTGATAGTTTTTCTATTTCTTCCCTGTGTGTAAAATACTTGAATGCTACATCTCAGTTCCACAAATGTATTGCACTCAGTGGTTTGTTCTAATTAATTCTTTCTCATTACACTGGTGTAGTAATCTTAGTCTTCTGCTTTGTAATATTTTTGCCAAAGTAGGCAGTGATAGAACACTTTTTTCATTAGAGCGGGAATAGCTCATAACTCACAAGAGGCAGATCCTTGAGTGAGTCATTTAGGTCATTCCCACTTGTGTGGAAAAATATTACATCATTGCCCTGTACTCAGTGTTCTATTTATACTATGCCAGAATTTTAAGTACATTTTGCTTTTTTTAGATGCAGTAAACAGTATTGGAGGGCTGTCTTGAAGTAAAGTTACTGCTAGGCCATAGAATGAGCACTACTTAATCAAATATTTACAAAGAGTCGAGAGTTAGAGAAGCATGCTGTTTGCTGATTTTGTTAAAGTTTGCAAGGGGAAGATTTGCGTAGCAGAAAAAATGGATATCTGTCTTCCTTACCCTACATGCAGTATTCTCAATCTTTTGCTTTTACACTGTAAAAGGCAGAGCTAACTGTTGCCTTTTTCTTTCCTTTACAGTTTTTTTAAATTTTTGTCAAAGCACTTAAGTATTGAGGTGAGGCTTAGATCTGAATATAGTTATGCAAGACAGTTTCCTATGATAATGGACTGTTAAATTAAGTTTGGGCTATTTCAGTAAGGGAAGTCTTTCACAAATAACTGCTATTTTTGTTAACATTTTAAGGATTTTTATCTCTAGTTATTTAACTGAACGACCTTCAGGCATATATTCCTCGCATAATCTTTTACAGAGAAACAATTCTTCAGAGTCTTTCTCCCTAAAAAGAGAGAATTGCATTTGCATCCTTTCATTGTCCGCACTGTATTTATTAAGTCTTTGAAGGGCAGCTTTGTGTTTCATAATTTAAGTAAATATTGCTACGTTTGAGTTCCACTGTCTTTCTGTTATTGCTCATGTTATCCCAAGTGCGTCTGGATTTCTTATTTAATGGCTAAATAAATAATTGTTTTCTTATGCTACAGTCTTGCTACCTGACCTGCTTCTGTGAGAGTATTAAGCCTCACCATGAGTAAAGCAGCCTCCACAATCTATGCTAAGCAGACGTCCATTCTGGAAATTTGTCATGCAGTCACAACTATATACTCTTTACAAATGTTCTTTTGACAAGACACTGAATTTTTTTTAGAAGGACAGTGTTCCAGAATCTTTCCTTAGATTTGGTCTGCACTACGTTTTTATTTCACTGAAGTCTCTTTCTAATGATAAATGAATAAAATTAAGAAATTAAATAATAAATAAAACCCAATAATAACTAGTTTATGTGCAGTATATCTCCACTTCTCCTTGTGCCTTCTGTAAGCTTAAAATTAGTTGCTAGTAGAGCTGTGCATGTGAAGTCCCATAGCAAAAATGTAGCTAATGAATGGAATAAGCTATACTAATGAAAGAATAGCTATCTGCATTAGAGCTTTTGCTGATTTAGCTGAGTTGATTATGGGTATGACCTTTTTTTGCTATCCTAATCAACAATGCTGACAAATTAAGTGCAGACCAAGATGATATGCCAGTGAGCATGTCTACATGAGCCATTTACTGTGAGTACTCTGAGCTCCACAGTAAATGTTTTGGTGCTTACATGTGCAGAGCTAGTCAGTTGGAGTAAACTAATGAACTCTGCAGTAGGGTAGTGCTTGTAAATACAAGTACTATCCTGCTGTGGAGTTTTTTCCTCCAGTTATTACTCTGTAGCAGCTTACGTGTAGATGCTGACCCAGCTGGGTGGGACACAAAGGGACTTCAGTGTGGGGGCTGCCTGCTGGCTACCCCTGCACTTGAGCACCCCTGTACCCCAGCCAGCTCCTCTGCAGCAAGTTGAGTTGGGTTGGAGCAGCCCTAGGCTAGCAGGCTGACCCTTGGATCCTGTCAGCTGAGGCTGCTCAGACCTGGCTGTACTTACTGTGATCCCAGGAGCACATGTAAATGCGGCACCCAGGAGCAACAACTCAGTGCGATAAGTGCTGGAGTTTATTGCATTACATTAATATGCACATACAGATGTGTCCAGTGTTTTACACTTTTTGAAAGTTCTACATCATTCAGGAGAGAATTGGAGTAGAGAAGAAAAGTGGGGTGGGGAAAGCTGTATGGAAGGTACAACAACATATCCCCATATGTTCACTCCCTGGTCCTTTGTTGTGGTGCAACTGTGGAAATGTAAGATGCTGTGTAAATCAGATGATCTCTTCAGATAATGTGTTTTATGATTTTGCTGCTTGCTTTGATTTAATATATTAACTAGCTGAGGAATTGTAGGGGGAAACATTTTAAGTGTTGCTTATCCATGCTGTATGTGGTGCTACAAAATATTGAAACTATTTTCCAGTCAGACTTGGTCAGAACTTGTATGGGAACCCCAAGGAACAGAACTGGTGCAATAAGTAGTAGTGATGTTTTAGTAGTTGGCATACTTAGCTTCAAGTTTAATATTAACTACTGCCCTAAGATGTCCATAGACAGCTCTGGGATGGGCCTTCTTAAAACCAAGATTTCAATTCCATTTTTGTTCATGAAAGATTCCCTGGCATATTGCCAGAGTAGGAAAGTTAACCCTATGAGTTCTGGCTAAATTCCTACTCTACTTGCATTCTTCCTCTGTAGTTTCATTTACCATGTAAAGCCTCTCTGTAGCTTTCACTACCACATTTTTTTTCTGTTGGCTGCCCTTTACTGTTCCTCTGTAGAGTTAAATAGCTGCTGTCCACTGCCCGTCCCACATGCTATGTTGGGGGAATGACATGATTTGCTTGTAACTGATAGATCAGAGAGGTGAATTGTGAGGCTTAATGTTCCTGAAGCATAGTGAAATAATGTATTACAGTGGGACAAACTGCTACTATTTTTTTTTTAAACCCAGGTGACCGGGTCATAGATGTAGGATCAGAGTGGAGAACTTTTAGCAATGACAAAGCAACAAAAGATCCATCTCGAGTTGGAGACACCCAGAATCCTCTCTTGAGCGATGGAGATTTGAGTACAATGATTGGCAAGGTAACATTTAATGTATTAAATACTGGTGGACATGGTAAGCATTTGTATGTTAAGTGTATATGTTGGCCACAAGGAAGCTGTGCTGTGGTATCGGTGTACAATGACATGTAGTTAGAAAAATTTAAATGAGCCAGCATTGAAGAGTCCTTAGGAAATTGTACTTATTTAGAGTTGAAGAATTTACTCTTATATTTTGAGTAGGTCAGAAAATAATGAAAATGCAAGCCCCACAGTTTTGAGGCATCCAGAATTAAACTCTGCTTGGTTTAAAAACAGATTTTTTTTTTTTTTTTTTTAAGAAATGCTTTATCAAATTGGCATTGGTGAGATGAGAAGACAAACATGCGTGCAATTATCAGGATTGCTATCAAGCTGTTGTTTCATAATAGTATTAAAAGCACCAAACCTGGAATTCTTCTGTGGTTTCTGAGGCTATATCTACACGGTAAACATCCCATCCCTGGCATTTGTGTCCTGACATGTGATTGGGTGCTCTTTATAGGCTGCTTCTGAAACTGGAAGCGACGTAGCCATGTCTGCACAGTACTTTGGCCAAGCTAAAATATTACCTAGTGATGAGGCCAGGTTGCATGGCTCCAACTTAATTAGCTTATCAACAAGGTCATGTTGCTGTGGCTACATCACTTCTGGCTTGGATGGCATTTTATCCATAGCAGCACTGTGGACTTGAGTATACAGCTGCTGGGGTGGTAAGTTTAGTGCACAGAGGTATCCTGGAATAAATTAACTGTTTTTGTCCTTCAGTGTGACTTTTATTTATTTTTTTAAAGTAGGGTAGTGTACCCTGTATAAGGATTCTGTGTTAGCTGTTTGTGAGGACTCTTCCCTGCTACGTGAGGTGATTGATGCACATTTTGTATTGTAGAACCTCAGCTTATGTAACTGCTTGTTGAGTTTTGGAACTGTTTTGTTATTTATCCTCCTTCAGGGCAAGTCAACAGCTTTCACTCGTGGATAGAGTAACTAAGAGTCAAGTTTCCATTCAAGCTTAGTTTTTGAAAAGCACAAAATTTGTAAACAGTCACTTAAACTCGGTGTGTTAATGAGTCTGCCTTGTGAAGGACAGATCAGTGTTAGTCACGAGCAGCTTGACCCACTGTCATGCCTTAATAGACAGGTCATAATGGAAAATAAACTTGTACTAGTGTCTGAAGTTCTTCAGAAGGTAGGTGACTTGGAAAAGTGTTTTAGTGTCTCTTCAGTCCCCTGAAAATTTGAAACAAGATGTAATGACCAAACTAAATTTGCTCATAGAAAGATCAGTCTCTCTTCCCTGATTTATTTCTGTCTTGCCATATGTGGAAACATGGAGTAATGAGTTAAGTTTGTTGAAGTTCCTATTCTTACTCAGTCACCAAGGTAAACTGTGTACCATCTAAAATGAATTAACTTGAAGATGCTGGTGTTTAAAAAAAACCCTGCCTTTCTAGTCATCATTTATTGTTATTTATTCCAAGAACCATTTTATAAAGGTGAAAAGTGTGCTTGGGTTGCTGAGGGTTGCTTGGTGAGCTGTGTGTTTGAGTGTGTGTTCTGAGCTGCTGAGAGGGCTGATTGATTGCTGTCTGGGTGTGACAAAAGCTCCTACCAAAGGGGCCTAGCCAGTCCAGGCCCAGGTGAGGTGTATAGGAGGAACTCCAAGAGATCGGGGAGCACCTAACAGGGAGAGCAAACAGGACAATTTGCAAGCAGTTTGCAGGTCTGGCAGGGGAAATAGCATGACCGGGGTAATGCACTTAAAATGGCACCACATAGTGGAGATTTGCACCCTTGTCTGTTTGCGGACAGGACTTCCTAAGAGAGCTTCATAGTTAGCTTCTCACTGGCCAGGTTCCAGTGGGGGGATCTTGGCTACATGCCAACTTTATGGAAATGGGAGACTCCTTCCTGGCTTGCCATCAGTCATATGGCCACAGGAGCAGGCGAAACTGGGGCATCCGAACCTTAAGCTTTTGGGCTTGGGCCTGCACATAAGATGCCTACCAAAGGACTTGGAAGCACCTGAAGCCCCAGGTGGGGGGTGGAGGATGTTTGTTCGTGGTAGGGCCACATCTGGTTCTTGAATGATTCACAGATTTGGATTTGATTTGGTTGATTTGACTTGGAGCATGAAAAAATTTCCTTTATAAAAAAAACAAAACAAAAAAACAGTTTGCAGGTCAGTTTGCTGCCTGCCTCTTTTGAAGGGAAACTTGTAAAATAAGATTTTTTTTCTTCTTTTTTTAATATATGTAACTGAGACAGACTAACCTACATAGTTTTACTTTAAACAGCTAAAACTCAGCAGCTAGACCAATACTTGTTTAACTAGGGTCCCTTGTTGAACTAGAGTCCAGAGTGAGGGGGAGTTTGCTAGGGAGTTCATTTGGAAACTTGCATTCCTTCAGTGTAAGCTTGCTGAGAGGAAGGAGGTTTGCAGGGAAAAGGATCCCTTCAGGATCAAGGAACAGCAAGCAGGCCAGCTACAGAGGATTTTGCTAGGGGAGGTCTGCTTGCAAAGAGGCAGGAAGTGAGAGGCAGCGGATTAGAAGACCCATGGAGATGGCTGGAGGATGTTGCAATTCCAGAGCCACTGCCACTTCCAGTCCTTCCTCTGTTTGCACCTGGGAGGTATCTGTCCAGGCAAGATTGCACACTGTCAAGGCTTCCACCCAGGTCTTGGTTTGGTGCTCTGCAGGCTGTGGCTTGCAGGTTCCTTCCAGTGTCAGCCAGGTGGGGGAGTGCCTGCAATTTGAGCAGTGCCTTCTGGTGGTGTCCCTCTGGGAGAGAGCTAAAGGAGGACACAGCAAGGCTCTGAAGCATTCTCCGCCATGAGGACTTCATTGATTCCATGCTTGAGAGAACCTAGGATTGTGGAGGAAGGATTGCCAGAGGCAGCGCTAGAAAAGGAAGAGGGCATGGACTCCCAGGAAGGTGGAAGCTTGTGACCTCTGGCAGCAAGAAGTCATCATCCCTACATGCAGTGGCTTGCCTGGAGAACAGATCTGGAGTGCTAGCAACAGAGGAGGAGTGCATTCCATTAGTGGAAGAGGCCAGGCCAGAAATCCCTGAAGTGGGGAGTACTGAGACCACTGCCATGAAGAAGAAGTGATTGGTGGTGATGGTTGGAGACTCCCTTCTGCAGGGGATGGAGGGATCCATCTGCTGGCCTGACCTGTTGTTCCAGGAATTCTGCTGCTTGCCTGGAGCCCAGATCTGAGATGCCACGGAAAGGTTACCAAGACTCACCTGACGTTCTGACTACTACTTCATGCTGCTCATCCATGTGTGAGCACCAATGATACTGATGGGTGACCCTGAACAGCTCAAGAATGGCTACAGGGCTCTGGGTACAAAACTGAAGGGGAAGGGGGCACAGGTGGTGTTGCCCTTGATGTTTCCAGTCAAGGTGAAGAGCCTGGACAGGAGTGGATGCATCTTGTCGATCAGGGGTTGGCAACCCCAGGCATGTGTACCAGGCATGCATACCAAGCATGGCACGTGAGACCATTTTCCTCAGCACGCATTGGGGCTGGGTGGGCAGCAGCTATTTGCAGCTGGCCCCATCTCTGGGTAGCTGCTGCTAGCTGGGAGCCCAGGCTGCTCCCAGCAGGGTAGCTGGGATGCTGCAAGCCCTGCTGGGAGCAGCCTGGGCTCTGCGGCAATCAACAGAGCCAGGGCCAGCTGCAGCCAGGAGGCTAGAAACAGCTGCTGCCTCCCTGGCCTCGGTGCATGTAATGCCAGAACCTGCTGCGGGGCTGGGGCTGGGGCCAATGTTGGGAGGGTAGCAGCTGTTTTGTAGCCTCCTGGCTGCAGCCAGCCCTGGCTCTGGG